ACCAGTTCTTAGTAGGGTGAACTCAGTCATTCGTACTTGGGGATTATTTTTGACCTGTACCAAACGCAATAATAAAATTATTTTTGTTGAAAATGAGGTTAGCAAGGCTAATGATATATATATATATACGATAAGTGAATGTAACCGTTGAAGTAAATTAAGTCTCTTTTAATGAACTAGTTTTGTAAAAGCAGGCTATAAAGAAACTTGTGCGAATAATGTTTAAGTATCATGCGTAAAATGTATAGAAAATAAATAAGAAAACTCATAAGTCTTGTACTTGAATTCCTAGACACTGATTCCCCAACCACTTCCTAGTTAAACTCGAAACAAGAGAAATAAAAGGTCAAATGAATGAGAAGCGTTTTCTTTCAGGTTTAGTTTATTTGTCGAAACAAGAATATTTGTGAGATAAAACGTGACTTTGAAACTCCATAAGCTTTGGATGACTTAATAATGGTAACACAATCGGTATTTGTTCAATCAGATAATAGAATCTGTCATCTTTTTACTGTTCTCTTGAAAGTCCTGAAAAAAATCATTGATTTATGGAAGCATTTTTAGCAGTTTCCTATCACCTATGTGAAAGTGTTTTAAGTATGTTTGATTTGGTTACTGGTTCATCTATTATTACCACAGTACAAATTGAATAGTCGTGGGAGAACCCGCATATTAATGTTGCAGCCAAGTCAGTTCTAAGAAAAATGGACATTAATTCAAGTGGACGAAATCTTTGTGAATCATTTAAAATAGTTTAAAATCTGTGCGTGAATAGAGTAGGTATTAGAGACAGTAATATTTAGGTCTTTTTCCATGTATTAATTGATGAAGATGCATAGCAACTGCTCAAAAATCTGCCTTTTCCAGATAAACAAATTCACAAAACTCTAAGCTGTCTATTGCTCACATGCTGTACAACAGTTATGAATACAGATATCTAAATTTACAAACGCGATGGGATAGAATGAATAAATAGATAAGAATTCAGTGAAGTAGACAGAAGATTCAGGTTAGGAAGACAGATGCAAGTTTGACTTTGTTTTGACGTCTTCTTACAATGGGAAGAAGGGCTTCGAAATGTCACATTCCATGGATTTCCATTGTCAGTGAGAAAAAATTTTAAAGTACAGAGCTAACGTATTAAAAAGCTATCACAAAAACGTCTCTTAAGTCCTGACGTTACACTTCGAGTTCCTCAGGAAGAAGTATTTCTCCAAGGTGTGGGGAATCATAATGCGATTGTTTTCTCCCATTCTTTCAGAACACAAATTACTGTTATTGACAACCATAGAAAACCTTAAGTGAGCTATTCTAGGAAATAGCATGGATTCTTACCTATGTGCTAGCTACGATCGTTATGGTTAACAAGGTCAAAATCAAATGCTGAAAAATTTCCGAATTGTTGATTATAAGAAAATACTATCATTTGCAGTTTTTGAAAAAATATTGTGCAAAATTAGAATAAAAATTATTTTCATTTTGAAGTCTAAATATCTGTATTTAATGGATAGCCATCAAACTCCCAAATTATTTCCCTTCATCAAACTTCTTATCCATTCACCACTAACGTATTGGAACCGGTCAGTGGGATTTCGGCATAATAAAACAGGAACCAGCAGCGTTGACACGTCAACTTGATTTACATCACACACGTCAATCACTAAAGTTATTAGACATTCTTATCAACCATTTTATATTTCGACGAGTATATACAACGCCATGGTGATTATATCCTAGCTGTTTGTTGTTGCAAACTAAACTGGAATCACTGGAACTATTGATGCTTGTTCATTTGTACGGACGCAATGTTTCCTGGCGCTTGCTAGTCTATTTTGGTTATTTATTCAAGCTACGTCCCGTTACTCAGTACACATTTACGTCGTGGCTGCGACAGATGACGGAATTGACTCACCATTTATTATTGTCATTACCCTAAAGGTGTTTACCTGTAAACTATTTACTGAGGACAGAGATTTTTAGTTGGTCTAGTTGTGATTTGTGAGTATCAACCACAGACCTGTAAGTTGTATAAATATTTGTTTGTTCCATTCTCAGAGACTAGGAGATAGATTCTAGGACAATGTTTTGAGACTGATCGTTGTTGATTGGTAAATTAGCCATGATAATTGTCATTGTACATTGTGTAACAGATCTACACAAATGAACAGACAAGTTTATCAGACAGATTCTGCCAGAAGTCTAGATAGATAGAAATAGACAGGAATGAAATAGGCTTAACGTTTAAACTGATATCGTTTGAACTATATATAGACCATAATAACACATGAGACGCTTTTTCTTTCTACAGATAAATCCACAATGTATTAGAGACGTAATTCTGACGACTAAGAATCGAACAACTCAATAATTCAGGGGCGAACAGCAAAGATTTCGTATTAGCCTAGTGCTTTTACCGAAAACGAATAATAACAATCTAGGAATATTGCACTACCTAGTTCCTTACGCCTGTTATACTTTCTGGAATATAGACAGCTAACCAAAAATCCTCCGACCAATCATTTTACGCAGTCAACTCAAGCAGCAGCGATTCAAAACCAAATGAATTTAACAGGTGTTACCAAATTCGGAGGGTAATTAAAACAAAATAGACTCAGCCATTGGAAGCCAGCAAATAATTTAGTACTCTAGAGAAACTGAATCGCTAGCCAAATCGATTATTATAATCACACCTAGAGTCAGAAAAGAAGTATGCCAACAAACTAACCGAAAATAACAGCTTCGCATTTAGAGATAAGAGCAAAGAGTTATTGTTTTGTAAGATGCATACATGTGAGATTTTTTGCAAAACCATACACCCACGTGTAACACCGTTCTCTAAAGAAACTTAAACCAGGAGTGAAAAACACAATTAAGGGCATTTCATGATTTCAGTTATCTCAGGTTCTCAAAGGGCAACCCGAAAGCCCATTGATTTTTCGCGTCTATGTTAATCACAGCTAACTTAAACCATAGTGCCATAAGTACGATGGTCCCGTGAGCATTCGAGTAAGACAAGTTTCCCGACGTATAAGTGATATTCCGACGATTAACAGTCCTGTTCCTCAAATGGTCTTTGTGATGTTTCGTTATAACATATTCTATGGCTTTAACTTGTTATTCAGGGTTTGTACGTGAAACCTCAGTCCTTGTGGTTCCAAATTATATGCAAATAATCCCTTAAAATTGATAGCTCTAAGGGTTTTGACATTTGATGCTGACCTCATTAGTTTTTAAAGACTCACCTAGCTAAGGGTGATCGGTTATGCATCCTCACGCCTTGCTTCACTTCCCATAAAACTGCTAGCCATCTTAGATTAGTCACTTCTCGGTATATCGATATTCTATCAAATATATCTTCCAGCTCCTACGCTTCTGACTTCTGATTTCACTGGGTTGGTACGCTTTGATTATAAAGGCTGTTACTGGTAAAGGTGTTGTCAAACTCCAAATGCTTGTGGGATTTTTAGTATTCAGTGGCTACTTTGCGATCGATCAACCGGGAACACGGAGAAGATGCTCACGATAAGTTCACATCTTTTGATAGCCAAATTGTCAACAAAATGCATGGAGTTTGTTTTGCTTGCTACACACTACCCTTGCTAGACACGACGTGGTCAGCACCATTATGGCCTACACAGTTTATGACAACTGATATCACCACCTCATTTAAAATTTACCATACCATTTCTTTCTTGGTCTTCTAGTAGATAACTAACCTGGGCGTCTGTATTCTGTCTGAAGAAACCGTGCAAGTTGACTCATTCAGACAGTTCGATATTTCATTGTGAGAATTTAATTTTTACGTTGGTGGAATCAAAAATCCAGACAGAGATGTTAGTACTCTCACAAACCTGCAACAAAGAAATTGGCAAGGTAAGCACGAAGAAAAATAAAGATTCCGAATATATTACTGACAAAACATTGAGAGATCCGAGCCACATTCCTAAGTCTCACTAGTAAATTGAATTTTGAGAAACTATAGTTTTTATTCTGAAAATTCCTGAAATATCTTCCACAGTTATAAGGACTTGAAGTCAGCTGAGTCAAGATTTTTTTGAAGATATTGTTGAAAACTTCCATAATGACAATTACGTCATAAATGTAGGGAAACTAATAACCTCATGGATTTCTATACGTTTATAATCGTTAACGGTGGCCAGATATCCACTTTCCATCGTTATCACTACTGTCAACCAATAGAGAATGGATTCTGGAGGATCTTTCAGGCGTCTGATAATCTTCGAATCTATCGCGAAAGCATATCGGCTGTCACTTTTATTTAAAGTTCTTAAAGCTATGTTTTCACTAGTGCACGCTTCGTCCTAAGACTTTGGCAGTATCCAAAATCCATAAATCACCCGCCAAAAACTAGGATAACCGTCTTCTGAACATTAGGACTATGTTAGTTCAACTAGTAGTATCGTCATCTCAAAGATATTCCTTATTCTTGTCAGGAACTGAATTCTTCTAGTCCTGCGACTTTTTTCTTAAGCAGTATCAGTTCATGGACACTAACAAAAGTCTGAAGAATAATATTGGTATCCGTGGGTGGGTTTTATCAGTTATACTAGTTTCTTATGTTCATGCTATTAACCTGTTAATGTCTGGTTATTTGGACGCAAATGACCCAGACCTGAAGTTAGTATGGATTCCGATTCGCGCGATTTTCGAACGGGAAGTTTAGTCCTAACGTGATTTGCATATATCAAACTTTTGCTGTGTTCTTACGCAACAAAAGTACCATTTCAGTTCTAAAAAATCTATCCTGAGCTATACGTTCGGTAGATTACTTTTTTTTGAGTTTCACTATATTTAATAGTTACCTGTGGTTTTGCCTCAGCTTACTATTCGGTTTTTTTTGTTTTTCACGTATAGACTAGTTTCAGTTTATATCACTCGTTTTGTCCGTTTTTGTCCGTTTTCAGTGTGCATTTTAGTGTTTTTTTTAAAAGGTCTTAAGCTTTGCCAGCATCTATAACATAGTTTGCTTCAACACCGTCATGAAAAACTCATGCAAACGTCCGGGATGCCGTTTTGCTGTCACAACTGGCATGCAGTGTGACAACTGCAAAGGTTGGTTTCACGAAGCATGCACAAATCTGACAGCAACTGCTTACAACAAACTCAGCAAGTCAGACCAAAAGTGGGTATGTGTCACGTGCAACACGGACGCAGTAGTCTTGCTGAGTAACATCATTGTCCTACTGACAGGTCTTCGAAACAAGCTGTCAGTTAACTTGGAATACGACAGTAAAAAAACCGATATACAAACAAGAGCGCGCAACGGACTCAAAAATAGGGATGTCGATAGGTATGTCATCGATGGAGCATCCATCAACACTAACGACGACGTGTCGAGGCTCAGTACCATCATTACGTCGACGGTACTAGACTCCCTAGGCAAACTCGGGTCTCCCAGCTCAGGGTCGCTGAACACAACAGTGGTTCCCAAAAACCCTGCAGGCGATTCGACCCACGTTAAGAGAGCCCAAAAGAACCAGGCATCACCGCCTAAGCCGAGCAACCCAAGTGTTGCTGCACGGAAAATAACTGGTGATTTAGTCGCACAGTCTACCCCCAAGACTGTTCGTCCGGTCAATAAAGAGCCCAAGATTCATAAACGCACACTGACCTCCAAAAAACAAGTTATTAAACCTGAACCCATCGTGAAACCTGGTAAATTAACAACAGTTCGTGACGATTCTCTCATTATCATGAACCTCGTCGACAATCCTGACCTTCCTCTCAGTCTGCAGGATAAAAACGACAGGATGCTGTGGGGTGAATTGAACAAAAAGCTCGAACTTCCTAGAATAGAGCCTTTGACGGTCACCCGGCTCACTCGAGGAAAGGATTCTAAGCATCTAAATCACCCGAGGCTTCTCCGAGTAACACTTAAGAATGCTACCGACGTAGAGGACGTCTTGCTAGCAAGTCACTTACTGAAATCAGATGGTAACGTAAGAATATTGCCCGACATACCGTACTCTGAGCGCAATATCATACGAAACGTCCCTAAAGAATCTCGCGAGAAGTTCTTCCGCGGAAGAAACATAATTGTCCAAGGTATACCGGAAAATGCAGACCCTACTCAATCAAATTCTGACATCAGGGAATGGAAATTCATCAAACAGTCCTTGAGGCTCAAACACATACTGACTCAGCATGTGACGAGACTAGCCAAGAAGGACGGTGATCCTAGACCTCGTCTGATGAAGATAACCTTCCCATCTTCTCACATGGCGGCTGCAGTTCTGGAAGCATTTCGTGCCAACAGACGTCGATTGCCACCTGGAATCCACATGCACCCGGATAGGCCATACGAAGTCAGGACCAAGAACAAAGGCAAGCTGGAGCTGACCATTCCACTTGTGGACTGTCTAAACGATAAAAAAAACGTGTAAAGGACAGGGCCTACCACCTCGGCAAACCTCATATAGGTGGGCTACCTGTCCATTCACATAAGGTTCATACAGAAAAACAGGACGAAGCTCATGCGTTCCAAATTGAAAGCATAAACTGCTTATATACGAACGCCGCGAGTTTACCAAACAAACTGGATGAACTACGTGAACTTAGCGACGCTAACAAGGCCCATCTGATAGGAATATCTGAAACCTGGACATCTTCTCAGTTCTCGGATCAAGAGTTAGCATTGCCTGGGATGACTTTGTTCCGCAACGACAGAAAAATAGGAATTGGGGGCGGAGTAGCCATATACATAAGCTCTTGCTTGGAGGTGCACCAGGTTCACAACCTCGAGTTTAACAATCTTGAGGAATCCATATGGTGCTCTGTAAGGTTGTCTAGTACTTCCAGGTGTCTAGTCGGAGTCATTTACAGGAAGCCAACTGCCGACACCGAGTACGATAGTCGTATGCTGGAAGGACTATCCCGCTCTATCCGTCTCGGTTTCACACACATCCTGATTCTAGGGGACTTTAATCTCCCTAGAGTCAACTTCGCGGAACACACGTACACTGGAGGCGACAACTCAACTGAAGCTCGGTTCTTCAACCTCATCGATAACTTGGGCTTATATGAAAATGTGAGGTCGGCAACTCGTTGGAGAAACAGTCAGACACCATCGCGCTTAGACTGTGTATTCACTAACGAAGAATTCCTAGTCGACAACCTCTCAATCCTGGCTCCTCTGGGAAAAAGCGATCATGCCGTCATAGCCTTCAGTTTTGTCATCAAAACTAAGCTAAGGTATCCCAACAATAATTTGCGATGGAATTTTAAACGGCTGAATGTGCGAGCTCTACATGACCATCTACAACAGGTGGCTTGGGATGTTCACCCTCAAATCGATGTGGATGGTCATTGGGACTTCTTGCTGCACACGCTCTTACGTGCTACAAACCATTCAGTTCCTCAAACGGTTCCCAAAAGCTTCAAGCCACCTACAGTAATCAAGAACCGTACCCTTCGCCTCCTAAGCCGCAAACGGCACTGTTGGGCGGAATACAAACGAACTAATAACGATGGAGCGTATAGGCAATACAAACATATCAGGAACACATGCACGAAGGCTATAAGAGAAGACAGGCTTCAGTACCAAACAAAGCTTATGGACAAATTCGCCTCTAACCCTAGAAGCCTATTCCGTTATGCAGCCTCTCTTCGTCAAGCCAAAACAGGAGTTTCTCAACTGCTAGGTCCTAACGGCCCGACCAACAACGATGGCGACGCCGCTAACCTTCTGGCGGCCCATTACTCTCAAACATTTCAACCGGCTGATATCAACTTTATTGACGACAGTTTCATCTGCAATTCCACAGGACTTTCTGAAGTGGACCTAAGCGCTGACTTGGTGTTCCGGAAACTGCAGCACTTAAGACTTGACACTTCTCCTGGCCCGGATATGGTTCATCCTGCCATACTGAGGGAGGCAGCCTCAATCCTGGCAACGCCGCTTAGCGTGATGTTTTCACACTCGCTTAGCCGAGGCAAACTACCGGAAAATTGGAAGTTGGCTCACATCACACCAATTTTCAAAGGTGGTCGACGCAATGAACCTTCAAGTTACCGGCCGGTAGCTCTTCTGTCGTTACCTTCAAAACTCATGGAGTCCCTGATATGCGACGGTTTAAATGACTACCTACTGTCCTTAAATTTCTTCTCACCCCAACAGCATGGTTTCAGGAAGGGTTACTCTTGTATAACCAACCTGCTGACTGCGGTGGACAGATGGACAAGCATCCTCGATCGCAAGGGAAAGGTTGATGTCATTTACCTTGATTTCTCAAAAGCTTTTGATAAGGTTAACCACTTGTGTCTTATCAACAAGCTCAAACGACTAGGTATCAAACCACCTCTAATCGACTGGCTTACTTCATACCTAAAAAATCGACACTTTAAGGTTAGGGTTAATTTCACTTTATCTCAAGCTATGGAATGTCCTAGTGGGGTCCCCCAGGGCTCAGTACTAGGGCCTCTTCTCTTCTTGATTTACATAAATGATCTTCCTCAACAGGTAACGTCAGACTTATTACTTTTTGCCGACGACGTGAAACTTTGGAGAGAGATACGCAACCAAGACGATATACAGGCTCTTCAAGAGGATCTGACTCGACTTCATAGTTGGGCAGACGATAACGGACTTACCTTTAACACTTCTAAGTGTAAAGTAGTCCATCTGCGACATGTCGCAAACTACAGTTACAACTTAGGAAACTCCTCTCTAGTAGTATCCCAAGTCGAAAAAGATTTAGGAGTCCTGGTGCCCCATGACTTAAAGTCTTACGCTAACTGTGACAAAAATGCCTTCCGAGCAAACCTTGCACTGGTAACGTTGAGGCGCATTTTTGGTCAGTTTGACGGAAGAACTTTCCACACAATCTTCAATAGTTTCATCCGTCCCCATTTAGAGTACGGAAACATAGTACTCCCCCCTCACTCCAAAAGGATAAGGTCACTTTGGAGCGTATCCAACGGCGAGCCACGAAATCAGTTCGAGGACTCAAATCTAAGCCTTACGAAGAACGCCTCCGTTCACTAGACCTTTACCCACTAGAATATAGGCGTCTTAGAGGTGATTTATTAATGGCTTATAGTATTCTTAACACTTCTGGACATCCTCTTAAACACCTACTTAAGCTTAGTTCGAACAATAACCTAAGGGGTAACACCCAGAAACTGGAAACACAACATAGCAAGACGGAATGTAGACACAACTTCTACTCCTTAAGAGTTGTCAAAAGCTGGAATTCGCTGCCGGCCGAGCTAGTCCAAGCGACTTCTCAGGAGTCCTTCAAGAGGCAACTTGACCTATTCTTAAGGACCAAGGACAGCATCGCACTATGATTTACCAATTTCTTTTCCTCTTTTATTGTTAACATACCTAGGTTCCTGCCTGGAGGATTTGGTGATCCCCTGCTACTAGACACGGAAGCCTGTTAAGCGAAAGCTTCTTCTATTCCGTCCACAACCATTTGAACCATTTGAATATATGCATGTGCTTTCTGAATTTTTTAGAATAATGTTGGGGAAATAATGTTTGGTTGAAGGTGGGATGGTTTCCCATCTCTTCATTATCCATTTTATATTAATGCTATGAAATTTATTATGAGAAATTTCAAAGCGAAAATATCGTTTTGGTTTGTCGTGTTCTAGTTTACAATACTTTTTTCGTTACTGTTTCTTTTAATCGTGTCGATTATGTTGTGACTTAGTTTGCGGGACTCCAGGGATTTTAAAAGTTTCAAAAAAAAAAAAAAAAAAAAAAAAAAAAAAAAAAAAAAAAAAAAAAAAAAAAAAAAAAAAAAAAAAAAAAAAAAAAAAAAAAAAAAAAAAAAAAAAAAAAAAAAAAAAAAAAAAAAAAAAAAAAAAAAAAAAAAAAAAAAAAAAAAAAAAAAAAAAAAAAAAAAAAAAAAAAAAAAAAAAAAAAAAAAAAAAAAAAAAAAAAAAAAAAAAAAAAAAAAAAAAAAAAAAAAAAAAAAAAAAAAAAAAAAAAAAAAAAAAAAAAAAAAAAAAAAAAAAAAAAAAAAAAAAAAAAAAAAAAAAAAAAAAAAAAAAAAAAAAAAAAAAAAAAAAAAAAAAAAAAAAAAAAAAAAAAAAAAAAAAAAAAAAAAAAAAAAAAAAAAAAAAAAAAAAAAAAAAAAAAAAAAAAAAAAAAAAAAAAAAAAAAAAAAAAAAAAAAAAAAAAAAAAAAAAAAAAAAAAAAAAAAAAAAAAAAAAAAAAAAAAAAAAAAAAAAAAAAAAAAACATTTCAACCGGCTGATATCAACTTTATTGACGACAGTTTCATCTGCAATTCCACAGGACTTTCTGAAGTGGACCTAAGCGCTGACTTGGTGTTCCGGAAATTGCAGCACTTAAGACTTGACACTTCTCCTGGCCCGGATATGGTTCATCCTGCCATACTGAGGGAGGCAGCCTCAATCCTGGCAACGCCGCTTAGCGTGATGTTTTCACACTCGCTTAGCCGAGGCAAACTACCGGAAATTGGAAGTTGGCTCACATCACACCAATTTTCAAAGGTGGTCGACGCAATGAACCTTCAAGTTACCGGCCGGTAGCTCTTCTGTCGTTACCTTCAAAACTCATGGAGTCCCTGATATGCGACGGTTTAAATGACTACCTACTGTCCTTAAATTTCTTCTCACCCCAACAGCATGGTTTCAGGAAGGGTTACTCTTGTATAACCAACCTGCTGACTGCGGTGGACAGATGGACAAGCATCCTCGATCGCAAGGGAAAGGTTGATGTCATTTACCTTGATTTCTCAAAAGCTTTTGATAAGGTTAACCACTTGTGTCTTATCAACAAGCTCAAACGACTAGGTATCAAACCACCTCTAATCGACTGGCTTACTTCATACCTAAAAAATCGACACTTTAAGGTTAGGGTTAATTTCACTTTATCTCAAGCTATGGAATGTCCTAGTGGGGTCCCCCAGGGCTCAGTACTAGGGCCTCTTCTCTTCTTGATTTACATAAATGATCTTCCTCAACAGGTAACGTCAGACTTATTACTTTTTGCCGACGACGTGAAACTTTGGAGAGAGATACGCAACCAAGACGATATACAGGCTCTTCAAGAGGATCTGACTCGACTTCATAGTTGGGCAGACGATAACGGACTTACCTTTAACACTTCTAAGTGTAAAGTAGTCCATCTGCGACATGTCGCAAACTACAGTTACAACTTAGGAAACTCCTCTCTAGTAGTATCCCAAGTCGAAAAAGATTTAGGAGTCCTGGTGCCCCATGACTTAAAGTCTTACGCTAACTGTGACAAAAATGCCTTCCGAGCAAACCTTGCACTGGTAACGTTGAGGCGCATTTTTGGTCAGTTTGACGGAAGAACTTTCCACACAATCTTCAATAGTTTCATCCGTCCCCATTTAGAGTACGGAAACATAGTACTCCCCCCCTCACTCCAAAAGGATAAGGTCACTTTGGAGCGTATCCAACGGCGAGCCACGAAATCAGTTCGAGGACTCAAATCTAAGCCTTACGAAGAACGCCTCCGTTCACTAGACCTTTACCCACTAGAATATAGGCGTCTTAGAGGTGATTTATTAATGGCTTATAGTATTCTTAACACTTCTGGACATCCTCTTAAACACCTACTTAAGCTTAGTTCGAACAATAACCTAAGGGGTAACACCCAGAAACTGGAAACACAACATAGCAAGACGGAATGTAGACACAACTTCTACTCCTTAAGAGTTGTCAAAAGCTGGAATTCGCTGCCGGCCGAGCTAGTCCAAGCGACTTCTCAGGAGTCCTTCAAGAGGCAACTTGACCTATTCTTAAGGACCAAGGACAGCATCGCACTATGATTTACCAATTTCTTTTCCTCTTTTATTGTTAACATACCTAGGTTCCTGCCTGGAGGATTTGGTGATCCCCTGCTACTAGACACGGAAGCCTGTTAAGCGAAAGCTTCTTCTATTCCGTCCACAACCATTTGAACCATTTGAATATATGCATGTGCTTTCTGAATTTTTTAGAATAATGTTGGGGAAATAATGTTTGGTTGAAGGTGGGATGGTTTCCCATCTCTTCATTATCCATTTTATATTAATGCTATGAAATTTATTATGAGAAATTTCAAAGCGAAAAATATCGTTTTGGTTTGTCGTGTTCTAGTTTACAATACTTTTTTCGTTACTGTTTCTTTTAATCGTGTCGATTATGTTGTGACCTTAGTTTGCGGGACTCCAGGGATTTTAAAAGTTTCCTTCTTGTAGTATTACTCTATTTATGACATCAGAAGTAGACGTAGATGAGCTTATTAGTAGGCTTCTGGAAGGTAAGTTCTCTTGAGCATCCTCATTTCACGTTCAGTCCGATCATCCAGACCCGGGACTACTGTAAATATGAAGGAAGAAGAAGTCCGATATCTATGTGTTACTTCACGACAAATTTTCTTATCACAACCTATTCTGTTGGAATTACAAGCTCCTTTGAAAATTTGCGGTAAGTTTTTCGGTAGGGAGTTTTAGCAGTTACATAACCACTCTATCCAAACCAACTACTTCGCAATAAATTATGATCTATGGCTCATTACTACCGTCATTATTTTGAGTATCTCTTATCTCCCCTTATGCTTCTGATGATTGATTGCATAACTTAATTCAGGTCAAGCATCAATTGTAAGTGCTTAGTGTTTCGGTGTTCTTTGATTGCTCATTTCCATTACATTATGTGAATTTTACTCCAAAACTGATTTAACAAGTGCTTATTCCAAGGTCTTAGTTAAACCCCCATATCAATGTACTTTACCCAAGAGTTCTGAACTGTTTTATTTTACTCTTCGCCTTGTTTTATATATTGTTCAAAGCTTACTATCATTGGTTTAATGAATGTAACGAATTACCTAATTATCATGTTAATAGTGAACTAATAAATCGTTATGCTTTGTTCTAAACACCATATCGGCTTGGTTGGAAGTACTCAACTCCGCAAGTTTCGATAAGCTAGATTTGTCCATGTTTTACAAGTCCCATTGGTATAGCAGGTTCGGAGGTTTTGATTATGTTTTTAGTAGGAATAACATTTCAGCCAGATCCATCTCCGTCTGCGTGTCTACACGTTTGTGAGCGTAATATGAAGATATGTAGTGGCATTTGTTATTAACAGATAGTTCTTCACAACCAGCTTCTACGAACTAATTCTTTCTTCCTGTACTACATCCTTATTGCAATCTTTTATATATTACCACCTCTGAATTAACTACTTTTATGAATCCGGTGTCCATCTTGTTGTGTTAATGAGGTATGGCAACTTGGACCGATGCATATATGTGCCTGGTCCTACGTTGTAGCTGACTGACTGCTAGTTAGCCAGTCATACGCTACATGGAACCTGGCACCTGTGTAAATGGACTCAAGTTTCCATGCCTCATTGGCACCGTGAGATGAATCCCAGAGTAGAAGTGGTAGTAGTTTCTGTCTTCATGGACTTATGCCTTGGAATAATGTCTTGGTTCAAACCTACTCTACCAGCCATCATAGCGTCTGTGGGGTAGGGAGTGGATGATAGAACGAAATACATGTCCCAACCATCTCAGTCAACAAGGATTCACGACTTTGCCAAGCAGTTTGTCGTATTTATTCAGTACTTTGCGTCTGACCTCAGAATTGCTAACTTGATGGTCTCAAAACATACGATCAAAGGCTCGAAAACACCCGTGATGGAATACTAGTAATTTACGAATATACTCCATTATTAAAGACCGTATTTCACGGCCATACAATTAAATGGAGCGAACTGCTTCATGGCAACTAGTCCTTTAGTTGTCAGACAAACCTTGCCTATGCCAAACGTGATGTAAGTTAGTACAAGCCAACCGGACTTCCTGAGTTGGTCTTAATATTTCGTCAGACACCAATCCATTAGGTTATTATGGCTCATTAATTCAAGCGCTCCAAAATCCCCTGGTATGACCGAGAGGGGTGGGCCCGTCCCTCCTCTCGAAATGCTCTCACATGGCCACGCGTATACAGCCTCTGCCAGGGAAGTCTTACTCATTGCCTTCTCGTGGCAGGGGTGTTGTTTACGAAAATGAGAGGATGAAAAGCGAATGTCCGGTGCTTTAACCGGATCTCAAACCAATAGTGCACATGGGCTCCAATATCCTGAGGGAACAAATGGCGTATGAACCAATCGTTGGTCACCGGCTACCATGGGACTGCATCTCCTCACGATGCTCCACTGCTTTGTGGGTCAGACCTTTAGGTCAAAGGCTCCGGGTGAGGCTCCCTAACAAAACCACCTGCTTCGGTTTGGGCACCCAGGCAGTATCACAGTCCACACACAAATATAATGATAATGAAAATGATGGTATTTACTGAAAACTCTATTCTCGCTTCGATTTACAGTCAAACAATTCACATTATTATTATTATTATTATTATATTATTATTATCATTATTATTATTATTTACTACGTCATTTATTCACTCCCTTTTATACCCACTTTATGTATCCTTATTTTTCGACTCATACAGCAGCTCGCCTATGGTGGAAACTCGGTTCTATCTAAACGTTCTCGAGTCACTGCCTGGTTGAAAATTGTATGCTACCACCAAATACGAATACTGAAGCAGTTTTTCTGAAACAACGTGCACCATTCAAACTGGCTGCCTTCAACGTTCGCACACTTATGCAGGTCGGACAACAGATAGGGCTGGCTATGTCTTTGGAAAGTCTTAATATCGATGTTTGTTGTCTATCCGAGACCCGTATTCAAGACTCTGGCGAAGTACTACAAATTCGATCTCCATCTGTCGCTTCGAAAAGCTTGTTTTACGTGCGCTTATCCGGGGACCCTGTGGCATCTTCGTCTGGTCTTGCTGGCGTTGGTGTCGCACTAAGCGCTAGAGCTGAGGCAGCACTAGTCGATTGGATCCCCATTAACAGTCGGTTATGTGCTGTTAGATTAGAAAGTTCCATCAAAGTGAGAAGAAATCGGCGTGAGAAACGATGTCTTTTCGTCATCTCCGCCTATGCCCCGACAGATTGCAGCCCGGATGCAATCAAGGATGAGTTTTACCACCAGTTATCTGTTCTTCTCCAGAAAGTGCGTTCGACAGATATTGTAGTACTAGCCGGAGACTTGAATGCTCAGGTCGGGCGTCTAGGCACAGAAGAGAGTCGTTTAGGTGGCCGATGGGGACTCGTTGGTCGCAGGTCAGATAACGGGGACCGTCTACTGCAACTTTGCACAGACCACAACCTGTTTCTGGCTAGCACTAACTTTCGGCACAGTCATCGCCGATGTGCCACCTGGCGTCCTCCCTCTGCATCTCAAGCCTGGACTCAGATTGATCACATCGCGATCAGCTACCGCTGGCGTGGTTGTGTAAAAGACTGCCGCTCCTTTTGGAGTACCTATCTGGACTCTGACCATGCCTTGGTCTGCGCCAATCTTGCCTTACTTTTCAGTGGACAACGAAGTGACCGCCATCAACGGATTGATGTTAGCAAGCTGGTTGCAACTTCTGTTGCAAGTAAGTATCGAACCGAGCTAGCCTCTAGGCTAGCTACCACTCCACCGAAAAGTATAGATGAGCATTGGTTGCAATTGCATGACGCCATGAAAATGGCGGGAACAGTCAGTTGTGGGTTTGCGAAACGTCCCGCTTTAAGCACTGGGTTTCTTCTGGTTCCTTACAACTCATTGAAGCCCGTCGGTCTACTCCGGGTGACCGTGAGTTTGACCATAAACGAAGGATGTTACGTCATAAAATTGGGCAAAGCTTGCGTAAGGACCGAGAAGCCTGGTGGTCGAAGCGTGCTAATGAGCTGGAAGCAGCAGCTGCATCTGGTAACTACCGGAAGCTCTTCCAACTCATCCGAGCCACTGGCAGCAAGAAGTCTGGTGTGAGTGAAACAATCTGCGAGGATGATGGGATGCCAATCACTAACATCCATCGACGTCTTGGACGATGGGCAGAATTTTTCGAAGGGCAGTTCAACTGGCCTGCTGCTCCGGCAACATCGGTCAGACTGTCCTGCCCTCCATGGCCGGTGACGACTGATCCACCAAACGAGGAGGAAGTCCGCAAGGAACTCCAACTCTTGAAGCGTTACAAATCACCTGGCCCAGATGACTTACCTCCGGCTCTTTTTAAAGATGGTGGTGACTTTTTGACTAAGGAATTGACGACGTTGTTTACAAAGGTTTGGGAACTAGAGAGTGTGCCAACGTCATGGAATGAGTCGATAGTTGTCCCTATCTTTAAAAAGGGTTCACGTCGTTCCTGTAACAACTATCGGGGGATAAGTCTACTTCCGATTGCGTCCAAGCTATTGGCTTCCGTCATACTTCGTAGGTTGTTCAAAACCCGAGAAAGATTGACTCGCGAGGAGCAGGCTGGGTTTCGTTCTGGTCGAGGATGTATTGATCATATCTTCACCCTCCGCCAAATGTTAGAACACCGCCATACTTATCAAAGGCCAACAATCGTAGTGTTTCTTGACATCTGGGCTGCCTTCGATTCGTTGGATAGGACTGTTCTCTGGGATTGTCTATTGAAGAAGGAGCAGTTTTGCTCTATGCTTGTGAAACCTGGCCTCTCCGAGTTGAGAACGTTAGACAACTCTCTGTGTTCGATCTGTCTCCGAAGGATTGCTGACATTCAGTGGCAACACCATGTTAGTAATGCAGAGGTTCGGCATCGTGTGTTCGGGCACAGAGATGATAATGCAATTGGTGTCACCATCTTGAAACAGACTTTGGTGGCTTGGACATGTTCTATGAATGTCGTCCCAGAGAATTCCCCGTCGTGCATTATTTGCGGAGGCTGGGACTAGTTGGAAAAAGCGGAGGGGGGATCAGTGTATGACATGGTGTAGTGGTATGAAGGAAAGCTGCAAAGAGCTGGCTTCTGTTGGTCCTTCACGACTCCCTGGTTGGGGTCCTAGAGATGGTGCAACACAGTGGTTAGAGGCGTTATCAGATGTGGCTCAGAATAGAAGCCAGTGGCGATCGTGCTGTAACCTTCTTTTGCTTTCTTCATAAAAAGTGGTTGTTTCTTCCTTAACTGAAAGATTTCTTGCGATTGTACCTTCCCGTTTCCCTTATTATTATTATTATTATTATTATTATTATTATTATTATTATTACACTACCATACATTAGTCTGTTCGTTATTGTTTTTTTCTCTTCGAATTCTCATTGTTTTGTGTGGCGCATATATATTTGGTGCCCTCTTGTGCCAATATTTATGTGTTCAAATAAATAATTCAAGCGTTAACGCAGACCAGTCATAAAGCAACGTTTTACGTTTAGAGCGAGAGAAATGCATGCCAAACATGTTTCCATTGTTGCTGTCGGCAATTAGGAAACCACGTTTTTTCCGCATCCTCACCAAACAACTATATCATCTGGGATTGGGACGACTAGCGACCGAGGTCAGCCAAGTAGGGTTATGTCCAGTTCCCAGACTATCTACGATATCAGTAAATCTAGTAGCCAAAACTGGACCACTTCTTAAAGATCTCTGAGGCTAGTCCATCATTGCTTATTGTTATTCCTCGCTTTAGACTAGCTATGCCTTTTTTACTTTAAGAGTTGGAGGGCTTATGCTGATATCCGATTCAAGGGTAGCTATACATCAGCTAAACTGTTCTTCAAAGTAGTCTACCCATCAATCTAGTCTCCTGGGTTGAGATTGGATCATTGTCCCATATTTTTCAGAAATATTTTCACTAACTCAGATTTCTAATATCTGTACGAGCTTGACCACTGAATCAAGGTACGAGCTATGATCTTAGTGAAGCATCAGATCATGGTAGATTTTATGCATTAATATTCGGTAGTGGTGGTCCTGGGTTGCCAGAGCAATATAAAGTTCGTAACCTGGATCCCCATCTGGTAAATTTCGTCTCGCTCTCGTAATTTTATGCGACGCCAATCAAGTAGTTGATTTTAAGATATGAAAAGCTACTAATACTATTGCAACTTTAATTCGTAGTAAGCGGAACAGGGATGACATCTCAAATGCAGTTGTAAACAAGTATGCAAACACTATTTCTGGCTTGTTTCATTACGCACAAATTCATACATCTTTTGTTTTACCTGTTTGTTGTAAATTAATGTCGATGCGCATTTCTGCAGGTGATATTCACGGCCAATACACAGACTTATTACGTCTTTTCGAATACGGTGGTTTTCCTCCAGAATCTAACTACCTGTTTCTTGGAGATTATGTGGACAGAGGCAAGCAGAGCTTAGAAACTATTTGCCTTCTACTTGCGTATAAAATTAAGCATCCAGAAAACTTTTTCCTTCTTCGTGGGAATCATGAATGTGCTGCTATTAATCGGATATATGGATTTTATGATGAATGTAAGTAACAATGATCAATAAGTACTTTTTATTCGTTGACGTTTAGTGCATTATTTATATTATATCTCATTTCATAGCGTTTATATATGTTGTAACTGCAGCAATTTATGAGTTTGAGGACCAAAGTTTTTTCATAGTACATGTAATATTTATTCTCATGACTATCGATAGTTGGATTTTACTGACATTTCAAACAAATTTCTTCAAAACACAATTCTGTTTAGCCCTGAAAAACTGGGCAGTACCGCTAAGTTGATAGCAAGAGTTTAAAGGGGTTTCTGTCAAGTTATACTGTTCACGGTCATGTTTCAGACTAGTGACATTTTTCATTTGTATATTATTCTTAATGGTTACTTGATGTAGAATGTTCATATATATTTCATTACATTCGAAAATGAGTACTGGCACAGTATTTTCATTTTTCTAGTCGTTACGTTGTCTTTACTATCTGTCACTTGTTATTAGGTTGGGTAGATATTTGCCTAACATGAACTGTAACATCTTACAATCATTCATAGTCTGATTTCCGCTAATCTTTCACAAGTCAGTCTCGCGTTTATGATTTCGTACAACGTTATTATTCAGGTAAACTTTTTAACCTGATGTTAGTAAATGCTGTGATTTTATTGCAAAATTTAGGTCGACTAAGACATCAAACATTATTCACCATCTATAAATAAGGTTTGTCTAATATGATGGCTTTTATTCACGACGTTATCAACTAATAGATTAAAAACTGGGATTTCAACTAAGCGATCATAGATAGTAGTTATACTTCATTAGTTTTCGTTAACTGGTATACTGTCAACTGAAGACTGTCGCAACTCAGTAGACAAGCACAAAAACTGCAGATCTTCTGTTTACTCAAGTCTCAAATACTATTCGTTGTTCACCATTAAGTTGAGAAAAGGAAGCGTCTCATAAGGATTTTAGCGATCCCTCTACTAGAGTGTGAAAGCAGTCGGAAATACATCACTAATCAATAGAACACTGAGGATATACGTTTTTTGAAATCCGATTTACATTCCGGTATATAGTTTACAGATCGCTCATGTACATAACCAAAGGTTTAATGTATCTAGATCGGCTTTTTTGTATAAACGAATGGTAATTCCCGGCACCTAAGCCCTTTTTATATGCTTTTTTATATTGACCGTTCATCTGCATTGGCTTAAACAGTTAGGAATTTATAATCAATCAATTTCAGAACTCGAAATATCTTCCGATTCTTTTACATATTGTGATCCAGTAATTTAATATGTGCGAAAGAAATTCGTTTCTAAAGTAACTAGTAGGATGTTTAGAGATAGCTATGACAGTTGTGTGCCATCAGTGAACTGGTCGCATAGACAGCTTTTCTATAATTCTTCTGTCATTGCTTTGGACTTATAACTTTATAATATCTTGTATATGCTCCAGATGGTTTAAGGTTACACAGATTTTATCGTTACTTATTTTAACAATAGATGGAAAACGTACATAGAAATAGAACCGCTACTATTTAGTTATAGTTCTCTTCATTATGGTCATTACATTAAACTTGGTTCGTGGTGTCCATTTGTTAGACCATTAATGCTTAAGTTGCTTAAGTCCTTCTGTAAAAAAGTGTAATAGTAACTAAATCTGCAAGGCAACTTGAACGCAAGAAAAAAGGTGCGAAGTGTGTAAAGGAAGCTTTACTCCAAGGTTAGTTTATGTACAGAAAAAAGAGGGTATGTCGTATTACAGCCGACCTTGGGCTTGTGGAAGCTACTGGAACCATCCTAAATATAGTAGCGACAGGTAAATATCCAATCAGAAATATGGCACGTGACTCTTCGCCTCCTAGATGTTTCTGAGAGGCTCCTATTTAACTGATTGGATAAAATGTTTCCTAGAGTCTTATGGCTCCCTATAAACTTTTCAGAAGAATACATTGGAACACCTCAGCACCAATGGTACTACCTGGTTGCTTAAACTTAAGTAGTTGTAGGAGGAGAGAGCGGGAGATCGAAAGCTGTTCACTAACAGCTGTTGTAATATAAGCCATCGCTATTATTTTTGTCTGAGGATCTTAAGTCCAAAAATGTAGGTTATACACGATCATTAGGCTCAATTTCATTGTGTTGTCAAAGGTAGCAAACATAGTTGATCGTAAAGACAATCATTAACGACAGTTAATTAGGCTGGAGAAAATTAAGTACAGGTCACAAGTTACTATTAATGATTCATTTGAAGATTCTTGATGCAAACATCCTCAAATCATATATATAAGCGTAGTTTAATCCTTTTTTCAATCTAATTCTTGGAAAAGCTTGCCCTCTAAGAATTCGTACCACTCGACTTCATGTCACGCTGTTATACATAATGGCTGATTATGCAACTATCCTGTTATCCAAACTCCAAATTAGTGGAATCCATGGTTCAAATGATATATTAGCACAGTAAACACTATTTTAAGATTATGATACAATATGTTGCATGTTTCGACTAAGATAAACGTTTTTCTAACTTTCCAGGTAAACGACGTTTCAGTGTTCGATTATGGAAAACGTTCACGATTGTTTTAACTGTTTACCAATCGCTGCAATTGTAGATTCAAAAATATTTTGTTGCCATGGTGGTAGGTTCTTTTTTGTAAATTATTTAGATTGGATCTAAAATTTTATATTATGGCGTACATTGTCCGAGTCTGACAGTGATACCCAATCATCCTATACGTGAACCAAACCAGCTAATTGGGCGAAAAGACAGAGAATAGTGAAAAAGCTCAACGGAATAAACTGAATCGCCATATATGTTGTAAATTTGGTCAGCCAATCCTATCGACCGTGCAACAAAATAACTGAATATAAGGTAAATAAGGGAATTAGATGAGAGCAAGGGTCATTGTCAGAAAACACACTCACTGGTCTGGCAAACCTGGACTGCCAAATAAACGAAACAGTAGCTATAAAATTAGGGATCTACTTCAAGATTTTGTGGATGACCTTGCAATCCGTAAAATAATAATCATTGATATCATCATCCAGTGTAAGTTGGGTAATCATTCAAAACCTGGAAACACTGATTGCTCGTTTCTCTAATACGGGACTCCTCTGCAGTGTGTATTCACGAAACTACCACCGAGAACCGAACCCTGGACCTTCGGTTCTTCTCTCGACCGCTTAACCTCTAGATCATTTAACTAGGGTCGGGTAGTATGGTATTTCACTTATAGTTAAATTTTATATATTGAGTATTGTTAAGCCTTTCAATTAACTCATTTAACAAACAGTATCATTCAGTCAGTAACAGTACGTTGATATCTTTGCTTTATTATTATTGTTATCGTTATGTTTACGCGATCATGTATGCTTGATCACATGTTACAGCCTACACACATATTCATCCATCTTACCAGCTGATCAAATCACTCGTGTCTCATTCGCTTGCTGATAGATATGTGGCCCTTAAGTTGCACTCATTCGTTCGTCCGCATTAATTCACGTTAACATTTCTGTTCGTATTGGTTTTGTGTGTTTGAGCTTTGTGATGTGTGCTTTGCAAGAATTATTTATTTGAACACACAAACATTGGTACAAAGGGGCACCGAATACATATGCGCCACACAAGTCACTTGGTTTGTATGTGGGCTGCGATACTGCCCGGGTGCCCAGACCGAAGCAGGTGATTTTCTTAGGGAGCTACACTCGGAGCCTTCGACTTAAAGGTCTGATCCACAAGGCAGTGGAGCAACGTCAGGTGATTCAGTTCCATGGTAGCCGGTAACCAATAATTGGTTCATATGCCATACGTTTCCTCAGAATCCTGGAGCCCATGTGTACCATTGGTTTGGAATCAGAAATTTCGAACTCCCCTAGGTGGACCCTCCGTGTCCATCTACCTGGTTAAAGCGCCGGACATTCGCTTTTCGTCCTCTCAATTTCGTAAACAACACCCCTGCCGCGAGAAGGCAGTGAGTAGTGAGTGCTGTGCAAGAATAAACGTGTTCATGGCTCTGTGTTGTCTTGTTAAATTTTATAGACTTTTGGGAGTTATCTACTGAGGGTTATCAAGACGAGTGATATACGAGGCATAAGAATTATCTCGAGAAATTCGACTACTATGGTGTGCATGCGTACTGCTGAGACTTCCCTTATCAGTACGAAACGAACCCTCAGTGCTTTCGGGTTTTCAGTGGTTACTTAAGTTTGATCGGTTTGTGATATCGATAGAGTTTGACAATCTCCATAACCCTGTATTGATAATTAAAAATTATGCTAGATGTAGTGATAATTTTTAAGTTAGATTAAGTAAGAACTCAGAGTACTTCCTTTCAGAATTTTGCCATAAGTACTCGTTGACCAAATATAACTTAAGCGTTTCTCAGTGTCTATGAAAATTTACAAAGGTATTCATAGACGACTGGTTGTCCTCTATATCGAAATTCTCAGACACTTGAGATATTGTTTTATTAACCCGATAAGTTCACCTTTTTAAATATTATCTATTCTTTTTATAGTTCATTCAATTCGTCAGTTTGTTTTTTATCTAATTGATTCTGTTTAGTTAATACGTTATGTATATATTTTTCTTCATCTTTGTCTCCCTTACATCACACTGCATGATGTCAGGATTATCTCCAGATTTGCAAAATATGGATCAAATACGACGTATCATGAGACCGTCAGATATTCCTGATACAGGTTTGTTATTATGTGTTATGCATGTAAAGTAGTAGTGGTAGAACCGTTACTGATTTGTTGATTTTTTCCACTTGATTATATGAGTGTTAGCGGTGCTATAAGCCAGGTGCAGATGAACATTATTTTGTTTTTGAAACAAACTAGTTATCTTTTTTTGTAAATTGAAGTTTCCAATAATTCTTGTTAATATCTCTTTTCATACAACCCAGCTAATCTTATTGCTTAGCTTTCTTCGAACACTACTTCACTTGACTAGTCCCCAAATCCGAAAAAAATTGAACAGGGGAGAAGTTATATTCCAAATAACCCTAGTTTAATGGGAGTAACAATCACAGTACCAAACACGTTATTATATTTATTATTCTACACGAGAAGATTCTAGAGTTCTCCATTTATCTGCTACGGCTGATTGGCTAAGAAATGGCCATTTAGCGTGATTCAACACTATTCTTCATGGAACATGCTTTAATCCAATCTATATCCTGCTAACAATTCTACAATATTGATAATACAAAGTGTATTTAAAAACAATGAATATCTGTTTAACATACCACCATACATCAAAGTATCAATTAGATGTTTCAGCTCAACCTGTTGAGTTTTGCAAATATAACTTATTTTCGATGTTTGTCTTGTCAAGTATTTGCTCATACTTTTCTTTATCACACCTGTATACTGAAAAAGTTCGATTTCTAATGAACAAATGTTTTGAAGCCAGTCTAAATAATTATTGTTTTCATTACTGCTTTTCATAAATAATCCTTACTGATAGACAAATGAAACTCATGAAATAACCTAAATGTAATCTCTGGAACTAAAAAGATAATATTATGTTATCTTTAGTTTGGTTGATTTGCATCTTCGCTCAGCCGTTAAACCTCCGGGTACACATAATCACCCAACTGTTGGAAAGTTTTTATGAAACAGACCAGGGTAGTTAGGATACGGGTTACATATGCCCAACTATGGCCTACCTTAATGCTGTCATAAAAAGGTTGTAAGAAAGCTATGAACTGCCTAAATGAAGCATGGCATCAGTCCATAAAGTCATTAACTGTTCTTCTGATCTATATAGGTAGGTGTAGGCTACCTGGTTTAAATCCATATGATTTTTGTGACCAATGGTTGGACAAGCTTTACGACATAGTTCAGAATCTGTCAGAGTGACACAAATCCACTTCTTCTTTGTTTATACCTAGATCTCAAGTTTCAAGATTGTTATGCTTTTTATTCAGAGAATTCAACCTTTGTTCTCGAATCATGCATAGTGTTTTCTACTATCATCAATACTCCTATTTCTACTAATTTCGTATTCATATTTCTCTGGTGATATCGTGTACGAACTTCAGGCGATCCACATACGTGCCCAAGTTCTGCTTTTTTATGATTAACAGAATTAAATAAGTGAAGCAATTATTTTCCTTACCACTTTATTGATTTATTAAGTCATTCTATTTGGATTTTTTCCTACTTTTTATAACTGCATTATCCAATGCCTTTTTTTTGGTAGTTATAATACAACGCTTAAATGAATCTTTGGTACTTTAGTTCGACTTTAGTTAGTGGTTCGAAATATTTCGATAAAATTTTTAACGTTTATTTAAAAATGGTATTTTAGCGCTTTGTGCTAATAGCGATGATGTTTTTGTCTTTATGTCAATCATAAGCAATATATTTGCATCGGCTCAAGTTGCCACATCATGTTTGTGTAGAAAGATGAAATCATCAAGATGTGCACCTGAATAGTAGAAATAGTAACTGTATTAGTGATAATAGAAAATATTATACAATTTCAGAGGAGAAAATGAATTCACGGAATCGAAATTGTACGTATTTTAAGACAGCTTAAGTATGTCTATTCTATTGTGACTGGTTCTAAGCAATGCCACCAGCACATCTCTAACATTTGTTACGATAATCGCGAGAACCCTACTGAAGTAGTCTACACTTAAAGTCTCAGTTCAACAGTGAGTTTGGTACCACGCCTTGGATCGGTCACCTCTTTCAACGTACTCCTACACCAGCTGGCATCCCACGTTAAGGTTGGCTGTGGTTAACCAAACTTGATACATTTTTTAACTACCTCAGTTGATAAAGATTCATAGCCTTATCAACCAGTTTCTTATCCATACCTAGTATCCTGCATATAACTCCAACATCACTCGATAGTCCTAACATACTGTAGCAATGTTTTAAGATTTATCTTGTTGAAATGTAATCTGTTATATTTCACTCATTAACTAATTAATTCTAATTTTTGTACTACGCACTTTTTTTAGGACTTTTATGCGATATTTTATGGTCAGATCCTGATAAAGATGTTAATGGTTGGGCTGAAAATGATCGTGGTGTGAGTTTCACATTCGGTCCAGATGTAGTTACCAAGTTTCTCAACCGACATGATATGGATTTAATTTGTCGAGCGCATCAAGTAGTTGAAGATGGCTTTGAATTTTTCTGTCGTCGTCAGTTAGTAACCTTATTTTCTGCACCAAATTATTGCGGTGAATTTGATAATGCCGGTGGTATGATGTCTGTAGATGAGAATTTAACATGCTCATTTCAGGTAAGTATCTTTATCTTTTCTTCATATACTACTACTCTGATAATATCTCATAATCGTAAAAGTAATAATTTGTCTTGTTTTTGAATTCTGTTTAACTGGAAAAATGAGTGTTTTGTCACCTAACCTCGACTATATATATATATATATATATATAACAGCTGGGTTGTGAAATGGATTAACTCATGTTTTCACGAGAATGGATGATAGTTAAAATTCTGAATCATTTACAATAAAGAAATAGTTTCAAATAATGTTACATAAAGGTAACTCAAATGAGCCTTATACAGATAGCAAATTAATGTAAATACAATTGTGAAAAACCCATCTTTTAGAATATCCGGCAAATCTTAGAAATTTCGTAAGTAATCCCGATGGTATGCTACTGAATGAACATACTATACAGTCAACTTGGTTAGTCCACATTATACTTACATAAGAAATAGACTCACATACTATGTACTGATTGTCACTCGTTAAATATAAGATATAGAATAGATGTTCATATTCTTACCATCTAAGTTACTTGTTAAGTTTACAACTAAGGCAGATTGTGAAGTGGTGGCTTAGTGATCACGATATTTGACTTTCCGCCACTAAGTCCTAGGTATGAACTCCACTCCATTTAATGCGGTCTGGGCAACCTGGTAGTATCATTAGCCTTCACTTTTAGAGTATGCTTCATACACACCAACGTGCCTGACTAATGAGTTTATTTTATTCAGTTCAGCCTTTTTAGGCAAATTAAGAAGAATATAAGCATATGATTTTTATTGGATGGTAAACCAATCCTTAAAATCTGTCATTGTATTATTAATACCTTGACACATAGAATTGGTAATAATCCGCAGAAAGGAAACCAAATGATAAGGAATGCTATTTGTTATGTTGCCTCCTGCAGCATTTTTCCGTTTCATTCTGAATTTAGCAGCGCAGCATTTTTCTGTCATCGATCGGTGGTGTATCTCATATATTAACCTATTAAATCTGGAGATGTACGGTCTCACTAACCGATTTATCAACTTTGTTTAATAATATTCTACGTTTACTCTTAATCTCACTCAATAGATTTATCACACAAGACCAGTGCCTAGAAGCCATTTCATCTGTGTTTGAATATAATGGGTTAACCTACACATATCTCATGTACCTTTTATAACTTTGAAGCCAATATAAAACAAACTGGTGTACCGTGTACATATTTTTGATGATAGGCAAATATGCTACTTTAGGGGAGTAAGTTGGAAGCTAAGGGCAAGCAAGTCAAAACATGGCATTAATCCATAAAGTCATCGACTGTTGGTCTGAGCTATGTTCGTTGATACCAAACCACTTAATTGGTGTCTGCGTGGTTATTGTAACCAATGGTTGAAGACTTTGGTTAACGTATCTGAGAATCGATCATAATGAACCAGATCCATTCCCTCTATGTCTTTAGTTCCAGTATTCCTTCATATCACCTTTTTATCCTGTCTTCTCGAGAACTATATATTCTGAATACTTAGTTTTTCTTATTATCATTGCTATTCCATGATTCTTTAGGCATAAGGAAAAACATCTTTTAACATGGAGACCCCCTAATTCGTCCCAACGTTGGACCCAAATAGATCACATCGCTATCAGCCACCGATGGAGGGGCTCGATAGAAGACTGTCGCTCATTCTGGAGCACATGCTTAGATTCAGATCATGCTCTAGTACGAGCGCGTATCTGTCTGCGTCTTACTGGACGTAGGAAAGACGCTGCAAGGAAACCTCTTAGGGCCCTACTTAATGATAGTCAAGCTAAGAGTATATTTCAGGAACAACTAGGAAAACAGTTAGGCAGCCATGTATGTGATGCCCACCCCGATGCAGCATGGAATGATATCCGAAAAGCTGTGGAAACAGCAGTGATATCTGCTAGTAAGGTAAACCGTAAGGTTAGGGAGCAACACTGGATCTCAGCAGCATCTATCTCACTGATAGATGCTCGGAAACTCATTCCACCTGGCTCTGAACATAATGAAGAGCGGAGTCAGCTTAAGCGCAAGCTGACAAGAAGTCTACGCAATGATCGTGAACAGTGGTGGGTAGCGAAAGCAAGAGAGATGGAAAAGGCAGCGGCAATAGGTAATAGCAGACAATTGTTCAGACTTGTTAAGGAAACCGGTATTAGGAACCGACCGTTAGCGAAACAATCTCAGAGAAAGATGGACATATTATACATTCTCAATCCAGGAGATTGGATCGATGGGCAGAACACTTTAGGGATCAGTTCAACTGGCCTTCAGCCACACTTCGGTTTCCCACGATCTCCAGTCAACCTGAATGGCAAGTTAATGTAGGTCCTCCCTCTTTACGAAGTTGAAAAAGCCATAGGAAATCTGAAACGAGGGAGAGCAGCAGGCCCTGACAGGTTTACTCCTGAGATTTTTAAGGATGGTGGTCCAGTATTAGCAGTGAGATTAACTGAGGTCTTAGGTAGAATTTGGGAACTGGACGTAATCCCATCTGACTGGTCTCAATCACTGATTGTGCCAGTCTATAAGAAAGGACAAAAGTCCTCTTGTGACAATCACAGAGGAATCAGTTTGACTAATATAGTGTCTAAAATATTAGCTTCAATAATACTTCGACGCCTAACAAAGCTCGTGAAGAGCAGACTAGAGAAAACCAGGCTGGTTTTCGACCTGGACGTGGTTGTATAGATCAGATATTCACACTACGTCAGGTTCTAGAACACAGACACACATTCAGACGCCCCACAATGGTAGTATTTCTCGACCTTAAGGCGGCATTCGACTCTGTTGATCGTGAGGTTCTATGGCAGTGTTTGTCACTGAAAGGAGTACCAAAGAAGTACATTAACCTTATAAAGGCTCTCTACTCGAACACAACTGGTAGAGTGAGAGCTTATGGCGAACTGTCATCAGAATTGATTACCTCAAGTGGTGTTCGTCAGGGCTGTCCACTCTCCCCATTCTTGTTCAACTTTGTCATTGACGTACTTTTAGAGATAACACTCTCCTCATCTAAATTTCCAGGGGTTGAACTTCTACCGGGAGGTTCACTTGTTGACTTAGAATATGCTGATGACATAGTTTTATTTGGTGAAGACGCTGACAAAATGCAGAGTCTTCTGACCACTCTAAGCAACAATGCAAGCATGTTCGGGATGCGATTCTCTCCCTCGAAATGCAAAATGTTGCTTCAGGATTGGGTTGCATCGACACCCGAACTAGTGATAGGGAGTGAAGTAGTTGAGCGTGTCGATCGCTTCACTTATCTTGGAAGTCTCATCAGCCCTTGTGGTCTGGTGTGTGACGAAATCTCAGCACGGATACAGAAGGCTCGACTAGCTTTTGCCAACTTGCGTCATTTATGGCGTAGGCGAGATATCCGTCTATCAACCAAAGGACGTGTTTACTGCGCAGCAGTTCGTTCCGTCCTACTTTATGGCAGTGAAACATGGCCGGTAAGAGTAGAGGATATTCGTAGGTTACTAGTATTTGATCATAGGTGTCTTCGAAATATTGCTCGTATATCCTGGGACCATCGAGTAAGTAATGCAGTTGTTAGGAAACGGGTACTAGGTAAGGATGGCAAATCAATTGATGACGTAGTGAAACTTCATCAGTTGAGATGGCTGGGACACGTGTTACGTATGCCCAACGACCGACTGCCTCGACGTGCTATGTTCAGTGGTATAGGAGTAGGTTGGAAGAAAGCTAGGGGCGGCCAGACCAAAACATGGCACAAGTCCATGAAGTCACTGACAAGTGGACTGAGTCATGTTGGTAGGTGTAGACTACCTGGTTGGGGACCGCGAGATGATAGCAACCGATGGTTAGAGACCCTGAATGACATGGCTCAAAATCGTTTGCAATGGCGCAGGTGCATCCACTCTTTGTGTTCTCCCAAATTTTGATCTCCTTATTCCTCCTTGTCTCTTTTTTTCTCCTCTCAAATTTATTTCACTGTATTATACTCTTTAAGTAACATCTCCAAACACTAATCTTCCCGATTACTGCTTATACTCTTGCTACCTCTACCACTACGGGATTTGAATCGACCACTGCATCTCTGTGCTAATGTGGTGTGGCAACTCGAACTGATGTACGTACGTACGAAGTTCTACGTTGTTACTGACTGACTGACTGATTCCATGATTCCGACTATTTTGTAATTTATTTTGTTAGTTTCATGTCATCTTTCTAGTGTGGTATGTCAAGTTGAAGCATTTCACATCTGTGCTAGATCCTGCGTTGATTATGATTGATTGACTGACTCAATCATTTATAATATCAATTTAATTTCATGTAATGGACTTATTATACTTGTACATTTATTTGTTAGCCGATTATATTGAAAATATAGGTATGGAGATAGTATACTTTTAACTAAAATATCACCATGTTAACCACCAGTATAAATGTTCTTATTTTTCACCATCATTTCATGTATATATCCATTTCTCCTTACTCAATCAATACTTATCTATGTAAATAGGTATGTTTTTTCTTTATTCCTCTGCCTGATTACAAAACTAGGACATAGTCAATTTGTGTGTGGATTTTTGTGCCAATATAGATTACTAATCTTAAAGGTTTGTAGAAAATCTTTCATCTTATTCCTTACGTGGCACTAATATGTGCATACTTTATATATATCACACTAATTTTGTATTCGGTCATCTGATTGTGTATACATACGCGCTTACGTGTGCTATTGATCTCTGTTTAGCAAAACAATAATAGTTTGTTTAATATTTTGTTGTTTTTTTCAAATGGGCAAGATGATGATAATATATTTGTTTGCTGCAATTAGTATTACAAGTGGATGTTTCGTTCGTGGACACGTGATATATATATTGCCTTATTGATTATTCACATTATGATAATATAAACTTATAATAATAATATATGTTAACTTATCCTGTGGACTTTCTCAATCCATAATGAATAAGATGTATCTCTATGTATTGATACTTTAATGTTACTTATCAAGAGAATACTGATCTTGTTCAAATTCAGCTTAAACCCCATATTATAAAGATAGTAGCATTAGTAGATATTCGGATAGCAACATCGTTTTGTTTTTTATCTACGTGTTATCAATTAAAGTTTGTATGAGCTGCTGCAAAAATTGCTTTGGTAAGTGTGGTAATGCCCTTCACGTTGACTACCTAGGTGGTTAAACAAAAAAAAACTTGACTTGAAACCAATTAATTGGAGGTTCAAATGTTAAAACCCTACCACTCTTTTTTGGTTTGGACACGAAATCATATCGTAAGTTATTATTTTCTGAAATTAACCTCTCAAAGTCGAGTTTATAAATCTGTAAGTTGTTGAATAAATTGTATACTGAATTTAGTCATCAAAAGTTTATATTCATACACTGACCAGTAAGTTATCGAACTTGCTACCTAATTAACATTAAAAAAATAAAATTGTTTCGAAATTTTCATTTAAAAGATAATTTGTAGAAATTATAGTATTTCATTAAGTTTTATCGATTAAAAAATTAAGATAAGATGTCCTGGTCGGATTTCGTATAGTGTGGGTTTTGGTAACTGTATGATGTGCTATCTCAATTATACAGCTGTAGTTAAGAAAATCTGTAACACTTCACCGATATTAGCCTCGATAGTTTAATTACTGGTGAGATCTCTTCAGTGATTAGAGGGACTCGTTTTGTCCTGTCCAACCTATGTGTGTATAAGTTAGTCACTGAGGCTGTAAAATCCACCTATTGAAACATGATCATCGCATCACCCGGAAATCACCAAATATCCCGCTAGAAAATTCTGAAGTAACAATTAATTATAATCAAGTGTTATATCTCTAACTTGAAGTCTTGATATGCCATGTACAACCTAATCACTCGAACGCTTGAACCCTACGAGTGTCAAGTTAGAAGACAAAAGATGAGTGGAAAGAAATCTTATTCCAACCAGTGTCAAATATGGTACAAAACACTCGGGTATCTATAGTTTTTTAGTGAAGACGAAATCATCATTACAATCACCCTACCCTCAGGCAGTGGTATCTAGCATGTATCCAGTCTGGAGGCTACACGTCGAAATTCTTGAATGTCCTTCCAAACGATGATTGGAGGAATGCCTTGGGTTATTCCAGAACTTCCTTGAGTTCACTGGGAGCCTTTCCCACATAAAGCTTGATCAACCAGTCCGTGACTTTATCATTCCATGTACGACTGACTTTAGATATATGAAGAAAGTTGCCCTTTCTAGGATAGCTTCGTTAACATGAGATAAATATTAGTTATTGTATTATTCAACATAAAGTGATATGAAACTTACCACATTAATGTTAATTGATTATTTATTATGTAGTTATTTCTGACCTTAAGGCTACACATAATGTTCTGATTAACAATTATTTTCTTTTATATTCTAGAAATCCAGTTTTCATTCTAGCAACAACCCTTATATATATATATATATATATATATATATATATATATATATATATTAAAAACCAAGAGACACAACCTTGCTTGAGTTCGAAACTGGGAACTTCGATTCTTTCTGATGGGGCTTTACATTTAAACCACTGAATTGGTATCCACTGATTAACATTCCTAACTCCAGTTGATTCATGATATTAGTAGGCAACTACTTCGCACTTGATATGGCTGAACACTAGTCACAGCTTATCACTAGTACTCCGGGAAATACATCTCGGGATTAGTCAGTGGTCAGTTCATTATTATTAGCAGCAGTAAAGAGGGTAAACAATCGGATGCTAACTTTGTGATCTGAAGGTAACTACTGAGATTGATCCTTAATTAGGTCGTGGTTGCACACTGCTAAGTAGTCTCGTCCTAGTACTAGGCTAGCAGGAAATAAATGTTCAGTACTCACCGGTTTTTAACGGCTGTCTAATTAAGCTTCATCTTTAGTGTAAAGCGTACTGTATATTATTATCGTTTCGATGGGATTGACTGATTAGTTTACTATTCTCTGTTTTTCTTTTGCTTGCCTTATGGCTATCTATTTACTTTAGATACTTAAACCATCTGAAAAGAAGGCTAAATATCAATATCAAGGTGTAAACACTGCTGGCAATCAAGCCAGATTGCCTGCTCGTATACCATGATCACTATGTTCGTTGTCAATAATAATACATGCTTCCATAAATGCTTATCATAATATGTGCGTAGTATAGAACTGTCTGGAGGAAAGAACGATAAATAACAAACTTACTAACAAATGGTATTTCATCATATTTCAATACAATTTCAAACTTTTATGCTTATATATATATAACTATTGTTCCTTAATTTTCTTTTACACAAATAATGCACACAATATTTTCATTGATAAATTAAAATTAACTCAAGCACATGTATTTACTATTTGGTTGCTTATTACGTTTACTGTTTGTGTGTAGACGGCACAGGCACACATTACTTACAACGGGTTTAAACACTACTTCAATTATATGCACAAATCTTCTGAGAATAAAAAGATTATGGTTACAAATATTTACTCAATACCTGATGAGGTTTCTGTTTTTTGAGATATTTTCTTGTCCATATTAATGAATGCGTCCACTGCTCAAATAACAACTACTCTCCTCATGTGTTTTGTGTGTGGGTGTATCATATGCTTCTTCACTGTCTTATTATGATTAACACATTCAGCGAGATGATACAACAATTGGGAACTGTATTTTGTCTATAAAATAGTTTCTACTTGTCTTTCGATCAGTTTTGTCCTGGTTGACATATTTTCACTATAAACACACATGTCGTAAACTAAACTACTTGTAAAAAAATGTAACCTTTCGATTCTTCCTAGGTTGTTTTTTTCTTCCTTTCGTGTATGATAAACAACACGATACTTATTAACTGATGATAATAAAAAAATTTTGTTTACATTTTTCCGTACGTACACCTACCCACTTCTGCCGCAATCACATTTGATATACGGGATACTATACTGCATACCCTTAATTCTGTGCTTTGTACTGCATCTTACCAAATGATGATAATGATATAAGTCAACAGTTGAACAAATAACAAGATAAATATCCAAAACGTTACATAGGTTTTAATTTTACCGTCATTTTGAAGTACCTGTTCATTCACAATGTGCCGTGCTATATTTCATAATTTTTGAAAATCAGTTTCTGTGGCTTAGCATTTCCCTCCCACCTCCACACACACTTGTCGTTAGTTTCTAACTCCTACAATTTTTCCTTTACCACTAATACTACTGCTACTGCCGAACATGCACATATGAAAACCAATTTTTAGCGTTTTGAACGTATCAATCTACGTCTTTTTTTTTCTTTTCAGTTTTTATTCGTTTCTATTATATCTTCTTAAGAAATCATTGGAACTTTGTTATCCATTTAAGCATACTCTCTCTACTATGAATGCCTTTTTCCTATGTCTAGCCTCCTCCACATCAACTAACTTACTAGTAACTGCTGTTTTAAATCAAGTATAGTCGTAGCAGGTATAATAAAGAGAGTAGCAGTAAGTAACACACAAAATGAAGTGATGTGATCTCATTCATATTGACCAAAATAACCAGTTCTTATGTCTTGAACCGGTACTGAATTATTAGTATTATGTGATCAATAATACACTTGCTAGACTTATTCGCATCAGTGCAAATGAAAATGTATGTATAATTTACTTTGTTATCCTACTATAACAACTTTATTAATCCTTTCGGACGTCATACTTAATGATAAACAAAAACGTACACTTTAATACATTTCTCACACCACTTGTTTGTCAATAAATCTTGTCTGTAATGCATTCTCATTTGTTAATTTAGTTGGTGATATTCGTTTTTCTCCGGGATATTTTTTTCTATTAGTTACTTTCCTACCTTTCTTTGTTTGAACTGTATGTATATTTGTTTTATTGTCCGTTGTCAGGTTACTTCAATTTCTTCCTTTTTCTCTGTGTCACTTTCTTGTTTCTGAAGTTCATCAGTGAAAAAGCAAAACTTATGACGACCACTGTCACTAATAATACTTAAGTAACCTTATTTCTGACCATTTACAAACTATGTATGTGTACATGAATAGTTCCTTTTTATTCCTTTGGTTAGTTGCGTTTTTTTGTTCGTTTGTTTATTTACTAGTTAGTTCTTTGATAGTAATTATAAATATTATCTGTTGTTTTCTTTCTGTAATTGATTTTTGTTCAACAGTTTCTACTGACTTTCAGTCTACACCCTAGCTAAACAACTGTTGGAAACCAGCAGATGCTGTACACTGGTTTCGTCTTTGTATCGAACTTCTCAACAATGCGTACTCACAAAGCGTTCGGGGGTCGAACCCAGGATATTTAATCCTCGTGTGAAGGACTTAACGTTTAGACTAGTGAGTCGGCGTTCAATGGTTTAGGTTTCTTACTTCAATCAACTCACAATATTGTGTAATTGTTCTCCGTTGTCATCGATGGGTAACTGACGTGCTTCAACTCTACTGGTCACGTTTTTCATTAGAACGTTGGGACTTACCTCTTGAAATTACTCACCACTAAGCGTATAACTATTATTAGTGTAGAAGATCTATGGAGACTATTGGCCTTCATGGTTTACATCATGAAGTGATCTTAGTTAGATATCCATTGAAAACCATGAAGTACTGAATAATCGTTTTATCTTACTGTGTGACTTTCCAACTCTGGATATCCATTATCCCACAGAGTTTCGAGTCCAGGACCATCAGTCCTTGTGGTAACTAGTTAATGTTTAAACCACTACTGTGTGAATTTTTGTTGTAGCTTACCCTATATATGAACAGATAACATAGTGAATTGTGCTGTTCACAGGACAACTGTAGAAATGATCTGAACAAAATGGTGGTAGTCAACTTATAACTTCACGCAGTATTTTTTTGGTTACGCATCTGATTAGTTTTCTTATCAGTCTTCGTCCAATGTTCGACTCGAATACACTGATTTGTCCTTTGTTAGGATGTCCAACTAATATATAAATTGTCCAATATTGTAAATTAAGCATCTTATTATTTCATACTACTGTCCAATTTTTACTTTGTATATCAGTTGCCTCATAAAATTGTTTCAGCTAAATCTGAGTTACTCATACAGTAATCTCACACGTATTCAATCAGTCGTATGCTCATTATAATCCTGGGATAATCTGAATTATAACGTAAATATTTCATTGTTGGAATATAACCAACGTTCCTAATTAATAAAAATAATCATTTTAATTGGTGTTAACATACATTGTATGGTTTTAGAAGCCACCAAACGAGTTAATTTAAATATATTTCAACTACCGTAATCGATAGTGCGGTCACTAATTAAATCGTAACACACTGTCCAAACAATTGTTATTAAGTTTGTTACCCAGAAAATGAACGCGTCGATATTTTACTATTGGTGTCAATAGTTGGATCATTCGATAAAATATTTTGGGTAACACAAAAAGTGGGGATTAAATATCTTACATTTAGCCATCTCTCAGTCAATAAAAGAATAGAGGATTTTGATTGTTTTTTTGTAATCTAGAACTGATAATTTTATTTGTCCCTATACTATGTAATACATCCTTGGTAATTCCTAACACAATGTGACTTTGATGATAGATGGTCGACTTTCATCATGAAACTCGAATGCAGATTTACTACTTGTGGAAAAGACTCACTCACTATCCTACGGTGAATCAATCTTACCACCATGCTATTTGTATTGCTGGCTCAGTGTTAAGAACATTTAGTAAATCGCAGATGACGTCAGGTTATCGAAGAAGGTTATATCCTGCATTTGAATATCTGGGCGAAGCAAACGTCGATTCAGAATCTCAGCTAAATAAACCTGTTGTTTGATTTAAAATAGGACTCAAACATAAGGCTCTCAAGTGTAGTTTGGATAGCTGTCTCAGTGAACAAAGTGATATTTCGTGATCCAGAATCGTGAACACTGATGGTACGTGTGGAAGACAGATGGAAGGAATTCATAGTAGAGTGGGTATTGGTTATCTGTGAGAGATACCTTACTGTCAATACCCCCCAAATACAATAGTGTAGTGAACGAAGATTGTGTGGACAACCAGCTTATGATTCAGTTCAAAATCGCAATGTGTTCATAGAATAATAAAACCAAACATTAAATACTTTATTTGCACGCCTTCCTTCAGTTGTCTTTTATGTGCTCCATGATTCTTTCAACTCAATTGTTCACTGTACATCCGTGTTCTCTTCAATCTTCTGCTGCCAGGTATTCCACTTCTAATTAGTGTTACATACTACTTATATATGTCAACATAAGTAGCATGCACCACAATAATAGTATGATAACCCTTGGATCTAGGTTTCGCTGCTTCTGGTGTTATTTCTATCCAAACGATCATCTTGTCAAGTTAAAACGTCAAATAACAAGTATACCAGACAGTGTAGCTCGATTGAGTCATCGCCACAACTAATTCGGATTACCATGTAAAG